ATGATAGTTTATTAAATTTTATTGAAATTTGCAGATTGTTTCAGTGAAGTTTAATAAACTCCTTGCTATCTAAAATATAACGAGACACCGGAGTATATTCTTGAGCATCTCACACTTCTGATAATCAGTTGTCTTCTTGACGTTTATTCAGCTGTGTAAAAACTATAACTTTAATCTCAGCCAAACCGATTTACTCAGGAATAAATAAAATACAAAAAAAAAGGCAAACAATAAAAATTTTAAGTTATCTAAGTGACTTATATATGTTTAACCTGAGTAGCAAAAGACGGCGGTGGGTTTAAAAACGATTTGCCGGGAGTCCGGTGTTCACACCGGCTCTAGTGAGCTTTGCCCCCGGCTAGCTATCAAGCTAGTGGGTAACAGACGTCGGAGCGCTTTTAAAAATATGTGTTGTCTTGATAAACTGAGCAGATATTTGAGGTTTACACAGCTACATTCTCGCCTGAAAATATCTTAAACGTTTATTTTGTGACCCAGAAAGAATAATAAGAGTAATATTAAAACTAACTAGCTGCTGCCATTGTTGGAAACTGAGCTGGGCTGCGCTGGGACACAGCTTCTTCTTCGGGGTTTAACGGCAGCTGGCATCCTTGTACATGCAGTGCTGCCATCTTCTGTTTCAGTCCGTTATTACACTCTTAAATCCTGCTACTTATTCCTGTGTCTTTTGTGATCTTACAAAGCGTCAAACAACACGTCGACTATTAAATCAGTCGTGACTAGTTGACTAATCGTGGCAGCCCTAGTGGCTAGCTTCACCGCTATGGTTAGCATAATATAAACACAGTGAAGCTGGAGGATGAACTCTAACTTTTTTCCACTTAATAAAAGTTAACATGAGGGTTCCCGAAGGTTAGGGACAAATGCAATCGCATGGCAGGATGATGTAAACGGACCAAACTTCAGTCTGGAAAACAACTGCAATATAAGGTTAGTCATTAATATACTGCTGCATGGGTGTAGTTACATCATAAGGTTTTAAAAACTGAGCTTTAAAATGAATAGTGATAATAAAAACCGAGAGAGGCCGACAGTGATCACTGCCTTTTTTAGGGGCTTGTTCAGATTATATAAAAAAAAGATACAAAGCATTAAAACATGTTAAAAACACAACAGCCTTAATAAACGCAGAGTAGTTTGGACCTGGAAAAAGGTTTCATCAGGTCATCACTTAAAGATCGGATATCTCACCTGCTGTGAATCTTTTAATGCAGTACAGTTGTTATTATTATCACTTGTCACATCCTGTTTATGACAGTTAAAATAAATAACATTCATATAAGAAATAAAATTGTCTCGTGTAAACTGTATGTGGCGTTAAACAGGTCTATACTTCTGTACTTCAATGTTGGTCATAACGTGGTACTTCACGAGCCATATTTTTTATGAGGTGGTACTCACTGCGAACAGTTTGAGAACCCCTGATATAGCAAATACAAAGAAATTCTGGCTATGTTGAACAAATTGTTTTAACCTTTGCTGAAATTGGCACTGGCCCCTCTATCCAGAAGCAGTTTGGCCAGGTCATAGTTGGCCACGCTGACAGCACACATAAGTGGAGTCCATTCAAATCCAAGCCTGGTCTCCACATCCACACCTGTCCACAAAAAGCCACAGCAAGCAAGACAATCAAAATAAATTATTTTATATGGATTAATAGCAACGTTAAACAAAAAATCATACATAATTGAAGAATTGTTAGAGCATTAATGCATTATTTAGAGACAACTATAATGTGTGATACAAAAAAAATGAAGTGCTTGCCATTGTCCAACAGCTGTTTAACAGTGTCTGTGTCTCCGTTACTGATAGCTTTTTTCAAAGCTGACACACTATCTTCTCCTTGTTGTTGAACAGCATCCAGCTCCTGTAAAAATATGGAACAACCATAATCAATAAAAACTGATTCCTTCATATAAAAAAATGTTAGTGCCTCCAAAAGAGTTTGTGGCCTTGCACCAAAGGAAAATCAAAAAGAATATAGTAATGTGTATGTCTGTATATTGTTTTTTCCTTCCTTCATGTTTTAAAGTTAGGTTACAAAGTCTCTTCTGACTCATCGGGATAATCGTAATGCATAATCAATTCAGATGACCCGTTTTAAGCAATGAAAAATCTCAATTTATGTTAACGGCATTGTGTACATGTAAAAAAGTCATTATTAATAACAGTCTTTGCTTTACTCAATGTGTTTAGCTACTGTATTTATCTATTATAGAGAACTACTAGATATAAAGCTGTGATGCTCAATATTTCATTTTGACTTATTTAACTTTCATTTTTGTAACCTTATTTAGCCATTTTTGTATATTCTGCTTTCTTGGGCTACTCTACTTTATTTCAGCCATTTGTCTTCTAGAGATGGTACTTTTTTCAGCAACTGTAAGTGTATGTGAAAAGGCTCTGTAACACCTGTCACGTATGTCTGTGGGTGTCCTGTTGACTGCTGACACACAGTGTGTGTGAACCTCAAGTTTTATTATTTTTTAGCAAATGTAGCGATTTTTATATGGCTCAAAATGGTAAGTGCATCCATTTCCTGCTATTTTTTTAATCCATTTGACTAAAAACACTTACCCCTGTGTAACTTAAACCAGCTGGTAATTCGCATTTATCCTATATTTATGCATGTAGGAACCCTGCCCAAGTTACAGCCATGTTCATTTTTAAGCAGCCTCTGAACAGCAATTCAAGAACACCAAGGGTGAGAAAGAGCGGCAGTTGCACAAACTCCTGAAACTGAACTCTTAACAATAATTAAAGAAAACAGCAAATTGGTTTTCTTTGTATGTTAAATTAGCTTTCTACTACAGTAAATAAAAGAAATAAAAAACAAGAAGAAAGAAAGAACATATGAGGTTCGTTAAGTTAGCTCATGTTAGACACAGAGGTTGCAGCTGTTGCTAGTTAATGCTATCACTAGCAGCATAAAGGCAAATGAGAAAAGATGGAGGGCGCTGGTGTTGAGAACCTTAATGCAACCAGAGGTTTTATCCGAATAAGGCGAGATGTGCCACTCAGCTTCGCTGCCGTCGCTTTCTTCTCCAGCCGCAAAGGCATAATCCATGAAGTTCGCCATGATTTAGCGCAATAGCTCGCTAAGCATCGGTCAGACTGGACTCTACGGGTCACACTGGAGAGACGTTTGAGGCTGCGCACCATGGCGACCCGGTGTTGGGCGGAGTTTGACACCAAGCCAATTTAAAGAGTCCTGTTCTAGTTTAATAGGAAAATACAAATAACATAAATAGCAGTACAGTGTTTTCATAAAGTTACGCTGTACACGGTATTAAAATTGTGTCTTAAAACAGGAATTTTTGTTGTTGCTACAAGGCCTTGTTTTTGTCCTGTCTCCCGTCCTCATTTGTGACAAATGGCTTTTCCTCCCTGAGCCTGCTTCTGTCTGAGGTTTCCTGTTAAAACGGAGTTTTTCCTTTCCACTATCACCATGTGTTTGCGCCTACAGGTCATCCCATTGTTGGGATTTTCTCTGTATTATTATAGGGTCTTTATCTTACAATATAAAGAACTGTTATTGTCATTTGGTGCTGTATAAATAAATACAACTGAATTAAATTAAAACAGGTGTGAACCTCGGCTCTTTTATCTAATCTGCATGAAGGTAGAATTTATTGACAACAGCTGCAAGGGACAGTCATTGTCCAGAAGAGGTCACTCTTTCTTCAGTGCAAGTCAACACCGGTTGTAGCCAACTGCAAGCATCTAACAGTGCACCTCTCTGTATTTTTCCTCAGGTCCCCTTACTATCTTTTATATTTTCTATCCCGCTCTGGCTTACAAATCACACTGAAACAAGCTATAACTAAGCACCCTTTTTCTGATTTACTTACTTCTTTTCGTATTGAATTTTCACATTGCTCTTCCCCGTGGTCTTTCTCACACCCTGGTTTGTTGTTTTCAGTTATATGATTATGGCTCATGGACATCAATGCCAGCATCGTTTTCTGTACGGAGTTTTGGAGCAGTGTTTCTACTTGAAACATGAAACGAATCCTTCACTTTCGAACAATTCTTTGCTTCTTTGTTCCAAACACAAACTCCACTAATATTTTCTCCCCTTTAAACCAGATTACCTGTCAGCACGGCTATTTCAACAAGTGATCTAATACCACACTTTATCTCTGTTCCCTTCAGGAATGTCTAGGTTTTAACCCTCCCTAAAGTGAAACGGTGCTTAACCTTTTTTTAAAGAAAAAAGTTCGTCGAAATATGTAGGAACTGTACCAGCTATTAAATAAAATGCCACAGCTTGACTATCAGAGGCAGCTTGGTAGACCTGCAGCAGCAGGACTAACCTGACTGTAAAACCTGTTCATTCGGCGGTTTTTATTATGTTGTTTATGCTTCAACAAGACGTTTCAATGTTAGGTTTTCACGTTAAAACCCTAACTGTTTGTTATTTCTACTCTTCTTTTCTCTCCAAATTACCTTTTAACTGAGTGTAATTGAAGTCAGGATAATTCACATTTTGTGAGTTCTGCACTCCGGTCACCTCCCACATCTTTTCTGATCAACTAACTTGTGCCTCTTGAGTTTGGTGCCACAATATTACCCTGAAGCCAGTCGGCGTGGAAATGACGTTTCGGTTGTTGGCGAGCCCATAAAGGATAGACTGTCCTCTCCCTGTCACAGAGTGAGAGGGAGATAAAAGAGAGAGAGTGAGTGAAAGGAAGGTAGTCGAAGCGGACTGTGACTTGCAGCAGAAAATAAAACTAGGAAAACGCACAAGAAGACATTGAGTTTTAGCAAGTGGAGGAATAATAATAAAAGCGCGCAAAGTGACAGAAGAGGTACAGTTTTTTTGTTTTTTTTCCACCCTTTTGGGACACCAAGATGACTGCATAGTGACGATACATTCAGAGCAGATACGAAGTGGAGAGTAAAGCGGACGAGCATCCCCTCGGAGCCACGCGGGGGACACTCAGGTGCAGGGAACTCAAACTGGCGGCGCTCTTAGAATGCAGAAGTCACCAGTAGAAGATGCGAACTTCTTCTCCAAATTTTTCTTCTGGTAAGAAATGTTTGGTGTACAGCCTTGGCTCCAGGTCCAGGGCCAGGTGCACACGCAGCTTGTCTGTTGTAACGTGAAATTAAAGTTATACGGTGTAAAGTAAATAAAGAAATGTCAGAAGGCAATTACTGCAGGGTTCTATTCAGTTGGTAAGTGAGACGCGTTTTTCTTCACACATCTGCAGAAATCACGTGCGTAAAATACAGAGTTGTGCTCCGATGTAGTATGTTCTAGAAAGCGTTGGCAGTTGCACTTAAGCTACTGATGATTTAAAATTTGTGTAACGTGCTAGGAATTGTCATAATTCACTTTTTTGTATGGATTAAATGGTTCTTTCGTTGTTAATATTGTAGCCTAATAAAGTGGCGCCGAAGCCCCACTTACTCCAATTAGAGATCCCAAACAGACAAATAATCCTAAAACCTACATGGTGTATCTGGACGAGACACCCTGTGATTCATTCACAGATACTAGCAAATATTTCTCTCAGTACTCTGTCATTAGTCTGACTATGAAACCAAAGGCTTATCATCTAACCACGAAGAAACAATTATATTTCCATGTAATTTAAAAAGATTAATTACAAGTGTGTGTGTGTGTGTGTGTGTGTGTGTGTGTGTGTGTGTGTGTGTGTGTGTGTGCAGGTGGGTAACACCACTGTTAAGGAAGGGCTTCAGAAAGAAGTTGGATCTGTCAGATGTGTACAAGGCTCCCTCCTTTGATCTGGCAGACAACCTCTCTGAGAGACTTGAAAGGTTTGTACATCCTGGCCGAGTAATTGTGCATTATTAGAACAATTAAACACTTTTTTTTTTTAGTCTTTCCTTACAAGATTAGTAATAACAAAATTAATAATGATCTCCCCTTTAAACTCACTGAGTTGAAGCCTGTTTTTGGGGAACTGGTTGTAAGGTATTCTCTGAAACTAATAAAATCATTAACTGAACTTCATCCAGACTTTATTAAAACATGTAGAGAAAATGTCTAGGTATGTGCTGATTGTAGCATGCACAGTAACGAAATCCAGGTAAGTGGAACTTGTAGACATTCTGAAACCTAGAAATATGCGGCTTTGATGTTTTTCACGCATGTTCTTTACTCATGTTTACAGTAGCAGGGTATGAGTCCTTTCTTTTTTCACAATAAGGGCTGGCATTTAAACAAGGCTTGACATAAAGCAAACCTGTGTGTGCCAACAAACAGCCAGACCAAAGATGATGGACAGACTTGACCCTCTTTTTTTGCATCTGTCTTGCACTCTCTCTGATTTATTTCTGTTTCTCTCTTTGTCTGTTTCTATCTTTGTCTTACATTTATTTTGTTCAATAAAAAGTTGGATAATGATTGCAATTTTTTATAATAAATTAATTTAAATGTATCCTGTTAAGCCCAATGCTAGCAGCACAAGGGCTTTCTGAATTTTTCGTTTTTGTTATTTTGTTACTTTCTTCCTTTGATCCCTTTTTAATCTTTTCCCGTTCTTGCAGATATAAGCTGGTGGCACATCTTTGACAAGTCATTTCCCAAAAGTTAAATCCCAAAAGTTAAATACTCTTATGTTTTTTAAACCTTGCCTAAAAACCACAGCAGTGTTTCATGTAGTCTTGCCTCTTTGTGGGGCTGTCGTCACGCTAAATGTGGCCAAAAGGCTGGTCAGTGTACACGGGTTTTATAAAGTCGACCTTTAGAAAGGGCCCAGTCCCACCAGGGTGATAAATGAGCAGTGGTGGGTGATTTTGCTTTCATTATTCTGATCAGGCAAACAGTGAGGACTTCTGGGAACATGAACTTTACCTTCCATTAAAGCATGCTGTGTGCCGTCAGCCTCTTTTATCACCCCCAATTCAACTCAAGTCTTTGAGCTTTCTTGGCATGACAGTTAATATCTAGCAGGAGCTGGAATGAAGTCTGGTAAAGACAACACATACACGCACGCGAATCTGCGTTTTTAATTACATTTTAATCATTTTAAATGTTGATATCATAAACATAGTGATGTTTTTATTTTAGATATATCTATGTTGCAGTAAATAAATAACATACTAGGTAAGAAGATTGCTATCAAAGCAAATCTAGAAATCTATAATGATTTGGCCTCTGCAGACAACAGACAATATTTTGAAGCTTTTATTGAAACCATCTGAACCAAGACTTTCTGTTTGGTATATATGTATACATTAGAAACAAGCTAGTAAAATTTTAGAGTTTAAGAATGCATTGTGGCAAATGAAGCTCTTCTTTTACACTCCATACGGAGCATGAAACCAAAGCCTGCAGAACCTTGATTATTCAGTGGCACTCAGACTGCAAGCAGACAGCAACCAGAAGCTAGGAAGCGTTCAGTTTCAAAATCTTGTCACGTCTATCTTATCCATATTGTCTGTACACAGCAGTACAGTGGTTAGCACTTTTGATTCACTACTGTATCTGCGGAGTTTGCACATGCTCCCTGTGCCTGCAGGAATATTATAGGTTAATCCTGTGATAGACTGGTGATCTGTACAGGGTGTACAGTGAATTTCACCTTATGACAGCTGGGATATCCCCATCCCTTCCACCCCCATCCCCACAGTTTTCCTGTTTGTGGCCCAGAGTTGTATATCTCTGCTTGGCAGTCAATAGGTAACACATGGCCACCTAGACATTTTGCATGACTCACTGAAATTGAAAATGCAAGGATCTCTCCCTGTACAAATTGAGACTAATTCTATATGAAAGGTAAATCTTCAATCCCCTTATGTTTTTTGTAATCACTTTCTTCCTCAATTGTCCCCCCCCCCCCCACACACACACACACACATACACTTACTGCTGCTGGTTGGCCACATCACTGCAGCTATAAATTTCCCCTCACAGAACAATGCAGCTACTCTCTAAAGCTGTACTTGCCTGCCAGGCAGTTGTGGGAAATTAATAGAGCTATAACAAAGTTACACTAAGTAATTCCTAACAATACTTGTAGAAGTTCCTAGAAAACTAGACTCAAATTCCCAACATCTAAAAGGTACAAAATTAATTCACAAAAATTATATTCCTAAATAAATGGCAACAGGTTTTTATTCTGTGAATTAATCACCAGCTGAAGTTGTGGAACAGACCATTAAACTCAGGAAAGCTGGTACACAGCCAAAGTAGTAGCAGACAGATAGAAGAGCCAGAGCCAAACCCTTCTGGTATTTGTCTGGTGTTGTGTGTTTCTCCCATTCTGCCTTCTTCACTGCATTTTAACTGTGTTACAATATAACTCTTTCCTCCCTGCAGAGAATGGGACAGGGAGGTGGTGTCAGCCACAGCCAAGAGAAAGCCAAAGCTGCTGAGAGCACTGGCCCGCTGCTTCTTTTGGCCTTTCGCCTGCTTTGGTGTCCTCCTCTACCTTGGGGTGAGTATTTCAGTCTGTCCTGCAGGAAGCACATCCAGCATCTCTAACTGGGAATTGTGATGCTCAGTCCCGCTTGCAGATTCAAACCCATCATTATTATAACTTGATCATGTTGGTTTTATCTTGTAGATAAAGCAGATTCAAATTTAGATTTTTTTTTAAACACTTACTGCAGAAAGCAAATAAAGTCCTGGTCACATGATCTCTGGCTTCTGAAAGCACGGATTGGGAAGAGAGAGCTGAGCGTAAAAGCGAAGCTCTCAATTTACCAGTCGATCTATGTCCCTACCCTCACCTATGGCCACGAGCTGTGGGTAGTGACCGAAAGAACGAGATCGCGGATACAAGCGGCGGAAGTGAGCTTCCTCCGAAGGGTGGCTGGCCTCTCCCTTAGAGATAGGGTGAGAAGTTTGGCCATCTGGGAGGGGCTCAGAGTAGAGCTGCTGCTCCTCCATATCGAAAGGAGCCAGTCGAGGTGGTTTGGGCATCTGACAAGGATGCCTCCTGGGCGCCTCCTGAGTGAGGTGTTCCGGGCATGTCCCACCGGGAGGAGGCTCCGGGGCAGACCCAGGACATGCTGGAGAATTTATATCTCTCGGCTGGCCTGGGAACGCCTCGATGTTCCCCCGGATAAGCTAAAGGAAGTGGCTGGGGAGAGGGAGGTTTGGGCTTCTCTGCTTAGGCTGCTGCCCCCGCAACCCCGGATAAAGCAGAAGAAGATGGATGGATGGATTGGGATGTAAAACCTTCACCTGTCTTTCTGAGTTTTTAAATATGATAAAGGCTGGAGATTAGAAGGTGTTATTAACCTGTCTTTTTAGCAAATGTACCCATTAACATAAACAAAATTAATTCTTTAAACTTTGACTTCAAAATTTCATGTTCAAATGCAAAAATAATTATTGTTACACTGTTCTACAGCTCAGTCGAACATCATTATGGTAGGACGAGGAGGGGGCAGCTACATTAGTTATGAAAGACATCAGATTATAATTAAGTAGAACCCCTAGTGCTCATTTGATTTTTGACTTCAGTTAACTCTTTTCTGATAATTTTGTGGTCTTAATCACTAGTTTCAAGTGCTATTGAGTACCATATGAAATTCAGTTATAGCTGCATGTAGAGTCACAAAGGACGATAAAGCAAGAACTGACATTGCCATATGAGCACACATTGCACATTGGTCACATCCACCCATTGATTGTGCTTTCAAAACACCAGTATGGTGATGACTATAACGCTCAGCTAGAGTCTTTAAGTCAGGACATAAATAACCATTTCTCTATATGACCAAGTAGAGTTGTGTGTGAGAATGCAACCCAGTTAGACTGAACATTAAACAGTCTTTATCCATCCTGTTGAATTACACCCATGTTAAAATAGCAGGTAAATGTTCTTTAATGTAATTATTGTGTTACACCTACTGCATACTCGACCTGGTTCGACTGCATGCCTGGGTGTAATTATGTAGCAGTTCGTTAATGCTGTACCTGCATGTGTGTGTGGTACCTGTTAACTATGGTGTCCTGCTGGCACACCCCAATAAAGCTATTGTGCAATGACGCACAAACATCACAAGCATGTCACACCATGGTGTCACAAACCAGCTCACTGTCCCAGGCTTATGGGAAGCTCCAGACAGCAGCCATTGTGTAAGTTAGTGCAGTTGTTGCTGGTTGTCAAGATGGCAAGAATGCCTGGTGGATTTTGAGGAGACACTAGGTAAACAGAGAGGCTCCGAAAACACATTGAAGTGGAAGCCAGCATAGTTTTCTGGTCGTTTAAGGCTATTAGATTTCTGGCAGAAAAATGTTTATCTGGACATGCTTGGAATCTTGGCTAATGATCCTGGCTGATTCCAGATCCAGACGTGAATTTGCTATTATGTAACTGCATTTTCTTTTTTTTTTTTAAGGTGACATTTTCTTTTAGTTTTAGTGTTTGTTTGTTTGTTTGTTTTTACTTTATGTCATGTTCTCAACATTAAAAATTATTGGAATATGCACTTTCCTAAAATACCCATATTTGAAATGGCAGTTGATACTGAAACTGATCAATTTTTCTTTGTATTTGCATTTATTTATTCCCACATTCATACCAGAATAACAAAGAAGTCCTCATTATTAAAATGTACTTAGGAGTATATTGCTCATAAACTTACCATGCCTGTAACAGGGGTGATAAAATATACTTAACAATCTTCCAAGGGCACGAAGAAAGCTGATTCTCTAGTGATGAACTAACTACAACTACAAAACCATTGGTTATTCATTTTCATCATTTACTGTCCTCTCCAGCAGCTTTAGCAAGAATCATGATCTGAATGCACTATCATGCCAAATACATTTGCTTTGCCACGAGGAGGTGTTATTGTTTTCTCTTTATTGTCCCATGGTTTTTGTGCAGGAGGCTTCCAAGACAGTGCAACCTCAGATTTCAGGTCGCATCATTGCTTCCTTTGACCCGTTCCATGCTCCAGAGAGAAGTCAGGGACTCTACCTGTCCCTGGGCCTTTGCCTCCTCTTCACTGCCCGCTTCCTTCTGTTGCAGCCTGCCATCTTTGGCCTGCATCACCTTGGCATGCAGATCCGCATCGCACTTTTTAGCCTTATTTACAAGAAGGTAAGGGAAGAACATTATCTATGATTAGAAACTATTTTCCAACCTTTATAAACTTTTTAACTATTTCTAAACTGTATTTTTAACCTTGAACAATGATATTAAGATTTCAAAGATTTCAATGCATTTTTCATTTGCAACAAAACTAGAGTAAAACGTATAGCGTTTGTTCCTGAAGTGTTGTGTAGTGCAAGTGTAAATCCTTGCAGCCAGTAGCACTGAGCTGCTGATAACACCTGAATTGAATACTTGTTACTTTTAGTCACTGCTGTAACAATCTGCTATCAGAACAAAGCAACCCATCCGATAAGGCCTTTGCATTTCTTAGATTTTATGTTTTCCTAGTAATATTTTGAAGACCAGCTTCCACCTTGTTTGTCATGTATGACTGAGCTTTCCCAGAGAGGCACTTACTTGACTGTCCACAGGTTGCTGTGAGGGGCATGTCAGCCAGGTGTCAAAGCATGGCCGTGTGTCACAGACTTCCACTTTTTACTCGCTTTCTCTTTTTGTGTTCCAGCTGACCTCTGACCTTTGACATTTTCAGACCCTGAAGCTGTCCAGCAGAGTCTTGGATAAGATCAGCACTGGTCAGCTTGTTAGTTTGATGTCTGCAAATCTTAACAAGCTGGATGAGGTGAGAAACCTTGGACCTTTTTTTCAAGGGCAAAAGCTGATTGTTTGTCAGAATCAGCCAGAAGTTGTACTTTGTTTCGAAATTCTATTATTATCATTATTATTGACTTTCTTATGAAATAATACACAGGGCTTTAGCTTGGAAAACAACAATATAAAAAACCCCCACACATTTCAGAAAAATTTCAGATTCCCATACCAGATCAGCTGGGTCATGGGTTTACAACAACTGCCTCCGATGCTGATAGCAAATAGGTTGCTAGTGGAAACTGTGCTACTATTGGCTGAAGACAAAGGAGGAGGAATTAATGAAGCTGTGTTAGGAGACAGCGAAAGAGAAAGAAAGGTAGAAGTGTGGAGGTGAGAGTAGGGACTCTAAACATGCACTGTAACTGGAAGGTATGCAGGAGACCAGGTGGAAGGGAAGCAAAGGCAGGAGGAATGGAGGTGGATTCAAAATGTTCTGCTATGGTGTAGATAAGATGTGAAATGGATCTTGAAGGAAGAACTCCTGCGAAGATTGTGCCGCAGTGGTTAGCATTGTTGCCTCACAGCAAGAAGGTCCTGAGGGAACAAGTGAACATGTACTTCAAGGACGAGGGTAGGGTAACAAATAGGTGGACTATATTAGATGTAGAAGGTGTAATCCAAAAATGAAAGCGGACTGAAAGGTGATGGTAGTCTATAGAACAGGGGTGTCCAACTCCAGTCCTCGAGAGCTACTGTCCTGCAGCTTTTACATGCAACCCTACTCCAACACAGCTGAATCAAATGATTGGATTACCTCTTCAAGTTTGGCAAAGGCCTGATAACAAGTCATCCATGTGATTCAGGTGTGTCGGAACAAGGATGCATCTAAAAGCTGCAGGACAGTAGCTATTGAGGACTGGAGTTGGACACCCCTGCTGTACAATGACTTTGGAAATTGAAAAGAGAGAGGCACCGGCAAGAATTACATGGTGAAATGAAGAAAGAAGAAAGTGAAGAAGTGAAATGTAGAAAGAAGTGTACAGCTGTAGTGCTGGGAGAAACTGCCAAAAGGCTGTTTGGTGTCTAGAATAAGAAAGTGCAGGAAATTATTCAAAGGAAGATACTAGCAAAGAAAAACGTGGGATAGTTAGGGAGATGAAGAAAGTAGTCAGGAGTACTGGGGGGCTTGGCAAACAGCAAAAAGTGAAAGATGGGAGTGATTGACAGTGATTGAGCTGGAAAGGATGTGCAGCAGGATAGAATGATTAAGAATAGAAATATAAATGTACTAACAAGTGAAGAGAGTGTGCTGAGTAGATGGAAGGAGCACTGTGAGACGCTGATGAATAAAGAAAATGAGAGAGAAAGACAGATGGAGGACAGTTAGTGATTCAGGAAGTGCAGATGATTAGTGAGGGTGAAATGTAAAACTGTAAAGACATGAGTGAAAAGGTTCAGATGACATAACTGTGGAGGTGGTCTCCATTAGAGAGGGCATTGGACTGTTTAACACAATCTTGGAATGAGAGGATGCCTAAGGAATGGGGTGTACTGGTACTGAAGAACAAGGGTTATGTGTTGAGCTGTAACAACTATAGAGAGATAAGGCTGATAAGACATATTATGAAGATAAGAGAAAGAGTTGTTAAAGATAGATTACAGGGATGTTTGCTTTGAGAGTCTTGATGATTGGAGAAAGAGTTGCACTGTGTCTTTGTATATTTAGAGAAAGCATATGGTAGGGTGCTAAAAAAAAGGAGGGGCTGTGGTCCTGCATGAGCAAGACCAGAGAGGCAGAAAGGTTTGTGAAGTTGGTGCTAAAATTGTGATAGTGATGAGATGTGCGGTAGGAGTTACAGATAGGTTCAAAGTGGACGTAGTATTATATTTGTAACCATGCCGGATCCCTTTCTTGCTTCAGAGGTGATGACGAAATGACAGATGAAGTCACAACTGAGTGTCTATGGATTATGATGTTTGCAGTTGACATTGTTATCTGTAGTGAGAGTAGGGAACAGGTGGAAAAGAGCCTGGAGAGGTGGAGGTATGCTCTAGAGAGAAGAGGAATGGAATTCAGTTGAAGCAAGACAGAATACATGTGTGTGAATGACAAGAAGACAGGTGAAACTGTGAAGCTGTAAGGAGCAGAGGTAGCGAAGGTATATGAGTTTAAATACCTGGAGTCAGCCATCTAAAACAGTGAACATTGCACAAGAGAGATGAAGAAGAGGGTGCAGGGAGGGTGGAGTAGATGGAGACGAGTGTCAAGGGTGATGTGTGATACCAGTATAGCAGCAAGAGTGAAAGGTAAGGTTTACAAGATGGTAGTGAGACCTGCTATGATGTATGGTTTGGAGAGGATAGCACTAACAAAACGAAAACAAAATAACAGGAGGCAGAACTGGATTATCACTGGGAGAGACCAGGATGACCAGGTAACAGGTAAGTGATTATATCAGAGGGACAGCTCAGGTTAAGCATGTTGGAGACAAAGTTAGTGTTAGGCAGGATTGAGATTTTTTGGACATGTGCAGATGAGGGATGGTGGATATATTGGACAAAGAATGCTCATGATGGAGCAGCCCGGCTGGTGAAAAGGAGGAATACCTTAGAGAAGATTCATGGATGTAGTGAAGGAGAACATGCAGAGGGTTGGTGTGACAGAAGAGCGATAGGGTGAGATGGAGGCAGGAGGCAGATGATCTGCTGTGGTGTTCTCTGAAGGGAGGACCTGAAAGAAGAAGATAGTGTTTTAATTAGAACATCCTCACACAAATAAAAAAAATGTGCTAGAAACCAGTGGGGCATGAAAATTTTAAGTTAGTACAACTCTGTTGAAAAGTGAATGAAATGTGAGATTATTCATAGAAATAATACAGTAGATTTCCATTCAGAAGAAGATGGGAGGAGTTGTCTCTGCCAGGATAAGGGGAACAAGAATTCACATCGTCACTGACTTCAGTAAATGTGTTTTATTAGGCAACACTAACTGTGTTATCCATACAGAGGACAAATGAACAGTGCATTACTATATACAGTGTAGTGTTAGTACATAAGCAAGTATTACCTGCGCATCAGTGTTGGAAACTCGTGATTATGTATGCATGTTTGTCTTGGCTCTCACTGAGGTGTTGAATGTGGAAACACTATGCAACCTGCGTTGGAACAATTATCACCTGGCTCGAATGTGGCTTGTGTAAAGGTGGTACAGTGGTACCTTGTGTAGTAGTTCTTACATGAGTGTGGAATAACAAGATGAAAGTTGCAGCTGAGTGGATGAAAGGACCCAAGTAAAGTGAGAGCTGAGATTAATAGATTAGATGGATTCAATGTTTTTAGGACTTGCCTTACATGTGAGAATCCGGTCCCATCAGAATGATTGGACATCAGGTGGTCTTGAACCTACCAGTTCCCTGTGTGATTTTGGATTGCACTGATGCGTGAATTACACCGCCAGTATTCCAGTGCCTTCATTTGTGTTGCCTCCTGCACACAGTATCTAGGAAGCTCCTTCACCAAAACCACTCTGAGTATTTCCAATATGAAAGTGTCTGAAATTGGCAAAGTCACTTGTGAAAATTGACTAGTTATTCCATATCCGCAGTGTTTATTGAGAACTGTGTATTCACTCCTTCAGTCAGCTTGGATTCAATTCAGTCATAAATTATTAACATTTTAATAATGCGCAATAAAGTCTTTCCAGGGAACCATCTAAAAGAATATATATCACAATGTAATATTGATTGTGCATGTGTACTGATTGAACCTTTATTTATGTATTTTTCAGTGGACCTCTTTCTCAAATACTATTTCACAACATTAAGCGATATGCTTTATTGTCCCGTAGTGTGGTCAACTTTCCTCTTTGTACAAAAACACTGTTTCTGTTTTTGCTAGCTTTCTGTTATTATGTTGATCCTAGTTATAGCCCTCAGTTAACCTGTCAGATACCATTTTTTCAAAGCAATGATTGTTTGGTAAACACACACACACACGCGCACGCGCCTGATCAATTGTAAAATAGCCCTTTTGTATCGTCACATTGTCATCTTACATGTACACTAATTTAATTTCTGTTTACTTTGTGTGTACAGAGTTTGGGTCTGGCACATTTTATATGGATCACCCCTCTGCAGTGTATATTGTGTGTGGGTCTGGTCTGGGAGCTGATTGAGGTGAACGGCTTCTGTGGCCTTGCAGCACTGACTCTGATGGGCATCGTCCAGGCCTGGCTCTCCACCAAGATGGCACCTCATCGGTAGTAAAGCACAACCAGACACACTTTTAGTATTGGACATCTACCCTATTACATATCAATATACACTTGTATTTGTGTCTTCTGTCTTGCAATGTGTGTTTTTCTCTCTAAATATTAAAAATATTAGTTTCACTTTGTAGCAGTAGAGCTGTGTGCCACAAAAGCAGGCATGCTAGCGTTCTTGAACAAGTCACAGTTCAATTTATGGTAAATGGACTGGTTCTTATACAGTGCTTTTCTACTCTGAGTACTCAAAGTACTTTACATTACTTGCCTCATTCACATTAGTATTTGTTCTACCTAAGTGCTATCTGTCTAACATTAGCACACATGTATATTCTGATGGCTGCATCAGAGAGCAGCGTGGGGTTGGTATCTTGCCCAAGCTGAGGATCAGACTAGCATCCCTTAGATTAATAGATGACCTGTTCTACCTCCTGAACTACAGCCACTCTACTCTCCAGATATTTTATCTCTGGTAGTTTGTAACAAGTACTGCAGTAATATTAATCAGTGGGCAACACATTGGTGCTGTGGGTAGCATTGTTGCCTGACAGCTTAAGGTAAGAAGGTCCTGGAGTAAAATCTGGCATTTCCGCCCCACGTCTGTGTGGGTTCTCTCCCATGTAGTGGGGCTTCCTCCTACAGTCCAAGTTATACCCTGCCTCTCACTCCAGCCACCCTGAATTTAGTAAGTGGAACAAATTGGATAGATGGAATCTTAATCACCTCCCACTATAAAGAGTCTCATCCTACAAATGAACTTCAACTCCATCAACTTGGACAGTGGCTGGTAACTGTAGTCTGTGTTATGTTCCACAGACTTGGTAAGCTCAAAATAGCAATGCATGAATTAGTTCTTCACTTGCTGAATGTTCTGGTTTGAGTGGCTCTCCAGTTCGCTTTGGTTCTCAGAACAAGAACTACCCTCACTAGTTGTGGTCCAAGACAGTGAAGTTGGATATTCTCTTAAAGCCATAACGTAGCCTGCCTAGGGAGACTGCCAGTAGGGAAAATGAGGGACATGAGAATTGAGTAGCTGTTTATAGCTGGTTAGCAGTGAATAAAACTTTTATACTCTCAGTAGTTTTCCAAATGTGAACACTAACACTGTCAAGAAACAACAAAAATGGCACAGGTCCATATATAAACAGAAACTTGAGAATGTTCATGCATGCATAGGTGGATCCTCTGATGCTCCTTGCTATAAAATTGTGTTGGTGTTCTGGTAAAACTTTCTCCTTTGAACAGGGCGAACAGAGCGCCTATGACTAGCCGCCGCCTAGCTCTCACCACAGAGATTATAGAGAACATTCACTCTGTGAAGGCGTACGGCTGGGAGGAAGTGATGGAAAATATCATCAAGAACATCAGGCAGTAAGACA